GCAACTCAATGCCAAGAAACAACCATTTCCCTTTCCCCACATACTCCTATTTCTAGAATGATGGGAAGGCTTAATTTGAACTGACCATGGGCCTCTGGGAGCGCTGCTATTTATGAGCTAGTCTGAAATGTTTGCATTTTGGCAAAGTGCCTGCAAACAAATCATTACTGAGCTTCTTTTAGCGATAAAAGGAATTTGTATCATATATACAGACCAGATTACTGCCAGAAAATGGAACTGATTTTACTATTTCCTTCCTGCTATTAAGCTGCAAAATTAGCATTCAAGAAAAAAACCCAAGTTCCTGCTAGGGAGGAAAAATGAGGTCCACAGTGAAACATCTGTCCTCTCTCAACAACTTTGACTCTGATATCCCGTTAAAGAACGGCAATCTATGTCCACTGGAATCTGGAAATATATAGTTGGAGTGCAACACCAATGCCATTTTTCATTTAGGAATCTGAAGGAGTCTGTTGACCCTCATATTCTTCAGACAATGACTGAGGGGAAAAAAAACAGCTTTCACTTTTCTGTTCAGAAGGCATAATGCCACTGTAAAGTTTCCACTGTCACAAGTAATTTGCCTATCTTAGGGCTGCCATATTCTTTCTTCTTTGGTTGACTGCACCAGGAATTCAAAAATCCTTCCAGAATGTAACAACATAAGTAACCATGGGCTACTTTCAACTCTTTCTATATTCTGGATTCACTTTCAACTCTTTCTAAATTCTGTCCGTTTTAGGGAAATGAAGAGGAAATAACTCCGCTTGTGTATGACAGTGCGGGAAATGAGAACTCAGAACAAAACTCAATACTCTTACTTTAAATGCAGTATCCTATATCCTGAACCAAGTACTTCCAGAAGTAGTTTTTGCCTTTGTACTTTCTAGATTGTTGGCTCAAAAGATTTCCACTCAAGTAATATTTCAGATGCTCTTTTGTATTGTCTAATCTTCCTCCATCTAAAACTCTGAATAAATAATTCAGAGAAGTCCTTAGGGCATTTAGAAATAATTGATTTGGAAAGGAAAACTCTCTTTCACTTGCAGCAGATTTAGATCACCATCATCTGCCATTCTTCTGCTGTACATATGTAGCGATACCTAGATTCAGTCTGTCACACAAGAAATTATGGTTCCTACCTACCTATACCTTAGAGGGGCTCAATAACTAATCCTGGGGAAACTTAATCCTTCCAATTTTCAACTTAGCACCTTTGCAGATTCATAAAATGTGAAAACTCCCAAACAGCACCGATACCTAATGATCTGTACACTATGGAGCAGAGGTATAAATGCATTCTGAATTAAACAATCATAACAGTAAATAAACTAAACTTGAAGGACAAGTAACCATAACTGAAGAGAGTTCTACTGTTTCAAATACCTGCATTTTATTTTGAAAAGATTTTCATATCTTTTTGTGTTAGTAACGATGGACAAGAAGATACAGGAAAGCAAGCAGGATTTAGTTTTACAGTAGGCAATACACTTCCAGGGACAATTCGTGTTTTAAACAGGAATTTTGGAGAATGTAGATGAAAAAGGCTCAGGGCTAAAGCCGCAACTTAGAACAGTGGAGCAAACAAGAGCAAGAGGCTTTTCTGCAAGAGCCCAACTGCACACCATCCTACACATTCTGGTGTTAGCAAGTTTATTTCAACATTCAAGTCTCATCCTGTGGCAATGGTACAACAGGCATAAAATGTGGCTGTATTAAATACAAAAATGGTGTCTGAATGTCATCCAATCACATAGAGAAAGAACTTGTGACAAACAACAAAAGTACCACAAAACTTGCTCTAGTAAAATCAATATACTTGTCTACTGCAACAGCTTCTCCTTCTCGGACAGGTTAACAATTTCTTTACGCTCGCTTCCAGAGCTGTTAGCAGGTATACTGATTATTAATGCAGTTACTGTGGAAAAGCCTGCCAGAAGTCAAGCCACAAGAGCAGAGTAAGATTTTGGAAACTGCTTGCTTCTGAGAAAGTTGCATTCTTTGGATTTCAGCTCCTTGAAGTAAGTTTAAAGGTTTAGAGAAAGCTTACTTGGAGTTTGCACACATTTATGATCTTAGAGAGGCAACAAACAAGCTGTTGCTCATTGATTTAGCCTGTAATTTCACCGGAAAATGTTCATTTACCTCTGTGGTACTCATTACAATTTGCAAACTGAAAGAGAAGTCATACTTGAATGAAGCAGCTTATCAAGCTTACTTGACCAAAAGTAGCCCTGTCTCCCTCATCCCTCTCTTCTGCCACACTGCTGCTGGCACTCTGACCCCTGGATTGATTAGCTGATCTGGCTGCAGTTTCTTATGTTTTTGCTGCCTCAGCTTCCCTTTAAGTAGAATTAAGTCGAATCAAGTTGAATCAGATCACCAAGAGATTTAAAGAGCTCAAGCTGGTGTAACAGAAATAAAAGGAGCATCAGTGCTCATTTTATTGAGCTCTGCTGTAGACTACTTTCT